GGAGGCTAATTACTTTACATCATTACAGTAGTTTTTGTTATACATTGAAATGAATTAGCCATGGATTTACATGTATTCCCCATCCCAGTGCCCCCTCCCACCTCCCTCTCCACCCGATCCCTCTGGGTCTTCCCAGTGCACTAGGCCCGAGCACTTGTCTCATGTACCCAACCTGGGCTGGTTATCTGTTTCACCCTAGATAATATACATGTTTCAATGCTGTTCTCTTGAAACATCCCACCCTCGCCTTCTCCCAGAGTCCACAAGTCTGTTCTATACATCTGAGTCTCTTTTTCTGTTTTGCATATAGGGTTATCGTTACCATCTTTCCAAAGTCCATATATATGTGTTAGTATACTGTAATGGTCTTTATCTTTCTGGCTTACTTCGCTCTGTATAATGGGCTCCAGTTTCATCCATCTCATTAGAACTGATTCAAATGAATTCTTTTTAATGGCTGAGTAATATTCCATGGTGTATATGTACCACAGCTTCCTCATCCAATGTTCATCGCAGCACTGTTTATAATAGCCAGGACATGGAAGCAACCCAGATGCCCATCAGCAGACGAATGGTCTCTATTTTTGATGAAGATACAGATAATCACATGCCATCACTATTCTCACAAACATCTGCAGTACATCTCCTATCCTTTGGCCACCTTCAATACCACCAGTGGTAAACCACCACTTTCCTCACACCTGATGCTTTAATTTACATTCAGCCCCACTCTCAAGTAACGTACAATCTAAAATTTTTTAAAAAACTGTTAAGCAAATAAAGCTACAGGCAAACCACTCCCACCTTTCCATCCAACCAGATCATCACTCTGTAGCCTCTCTATTTAGAAATTCTGGAGGCACTACCATCCTCTCTAATTTCTATTACTACCAAAAATAAACCACATTTTAAGCATCAAAGCTTTCATTCAACTCTGATTGTAATCACTAACTGAAAATGCATATAACTGAAACATGTATTCCACTGGTAACAACTGCCTTTTCAAATCTCCTTTATAGGAAGCCAATGAATTTTTCTTAGCACAGGTGGGTTAGAGGAGCTGTAACCCCTTGCTCCCCACAGGTATTTCTAGACCATTCTCTCTAATTGTTTCCAAACAGCATCTTCTCTTCTGAAATGCATGCCATTAATTTCTGCTTCCTATGTGAAGTTCTCCTTGATTTCTTACCCTAGAAAAATTTCTCCTTCCCACTTAATTTTTACAACCAGGCAACAAATTCCTAAGTGCACAGGATATTTTATACAGCAAACTCCTGGCCTCTGAATCAGGGGGGGTGGGGGGAGTGGGGGGCTGATACTGCTAATAAGGAAGTGGTGAAAACCAGGGATACTTGGAAACATAACTGGAAGAAGACTACACAACAATGTCTTCAGAGTGATGAAGTGGGGCAGGGGAGCGGGGTGGGGGGCGGGGATAAGTTTTCTAAGTAAAACCAAGTCTTGAGCAGCAGAAGCACAAGAGGCACTAAGAATCTAGCCCCAAAACAAAATACACTATTTTTCAATGAAAACCCCAGTGTTTTCTGGGGTGTTCAAAATACAAACTGCCAACTTTTGAGGAATTAATCATGGACTGCTACTAGAAAAAGTTATCTGCACAGCAGAGAAGAAACTTGTTCCTAGGATTAAGAACCTTCTCATCCTCTACCAACCCCTTTCATTTCCAGGTAGTGCAAGTTTGATAAATATGTGCATATCCCCAAGAAAGACTTTTGACTTGCTGAGGTTCTTTGCCTTGGAACATAATTTTCAGAGTTAGATTAGCCACATATTTCTATAACCTTGGCCCAAGAGTGCTTTGTACATAGTTCACCACCAAACAAAAGCAAAACAAAACTTGCATAATTTGATCAATGAATTCACTAACACACACTCTCTCAGGAAGCCAAGAGGCCTGATAGCAAAAGAGTAATTGTAAGGAATGTTTGGAAATCTAAAGGAGACGAACACCTGTGTGAAATCTATCATATACATTAATAAAACAAGTTCGAAAACTACTGACACCAAGTGATAAAAACGAGGGTTCATTAGAATTGTCTCTATACTTCTGTGTGTGTTTGGAAAAGTCCATAATCAAAAACTCAAAAAAAAAATTAAGATAGAAACCAATTTGAAAAAGCTCTCAGAATTCCTTCTGTCTTAAATGACAATGAGATGAACCGAAACATAAGCTTAGCGTGTTTAATACCTTCAGAAAACCTCAACGAATATAAATGAGTGGGAGGAAAAGCAAAACATAAAGCAGGCTTTTCTTTACTGAAGCCAGGTAAAGTCAGCTTTCTTTAAAGCATAAATTCAAAAGCTAGTTCCTTAGGTTGAGAAATGCAGGCCAGCGTGGAACCACTGCTGACAGACTGCACATGGAGATGCAAAACAGGATGCCACCCTCTCTGAACTGCCCATTTCTTCTCTTTGATTAATTCTTTATCCCAGCAAGACAGGGAGAGGGCGGGAGATGGGCATAAAATTTCCTGAGCAGCATTCCCCACCCATTTGCAATGCATTTGTCATGATCTACATCATCACACACTTGCAAATTTATAAACTCAGAGGTTCATGCCTAAGCTTTGCAGGACACTGATGAGCTTAATTTAATACTACTCTACTCTTTAAAAAAAAAAGTGAAGGACAGTAAGGCGGGATGGAGAGGAGGAGGGGAGAGGGAGAAGAGTTTTCTCTTTTAAGGACAAATTTATAGGCAGAAAAATAACTACAATCTATAAAATATAAACAAAACTTTTACAAGAAAGTTCAGGAGCCATAAGTCAATGCTGCTTTCCTCTGATTATTTACCTATATATATACAGGTACATATGTAGATATATATAGGTTAGTATATAGGTTAAAGTATAGGTTTATATATATTAACCTAAACTTTAAGGTAGAAATCACAGATCTGAGTTATATTCCCTCATAAATTACAAAGATGAATATGTTTTACTTTTGCAGCAATAACAAATATAATTATGTGGGGAGAAGGAAAGCATATTATTAAAATTTTTCCTGGTTAATTGTAATGACAGAATTCCCCCCCTCCAAACAATACAGAGAGAAGTTCATTGTAAGATTCATAAGATTAAAATTATTTTAAAAGAAACCAGAGAAATAAGATAGTAATTCACATTTTACATGAAACAATGGAAACCATTTTTAAATACGTATTATGAACACTAATAACTTCAGCAATTAGCACTTGAACATTTTCCAACAATAGGGAACACTAGGAATGAAGTTATAGTCATCATAGGTATATTTTTATCTTTCAGTAGGTGTTACTTTGTATAGTAGGTAACATCAAAAGAGCTTGTGTGTGCTATATACATAGCACTACTATAGGTTGTAATTTTCAGAAGCATATGAAATATATACATGTGAAATCTCTCTGATGTATCATAAGCAATCATTATATTCTGAAATCAATTTAAAATTACAGGCAAACCAGAATGTAATGCCAAGATGATAGTATCAGAAAATCATAAGAACATACTCTAAACAATAAAATTACACTTGGGAAAAACAAAAATAAATCTATAGCCATCATACTAACCACATTAAATACTTAGAAAATAAGCAGATTATAATATAAAACATAGTTTAAATATATTCACAGGATAAATATGTCACTGGATGTGCGCTTATAAATTGCAAAACTAACAAAAATCACCCTCAAATGTAAAATTTTGCTTATTATTGTTAGGTAGTTAGAATAGGGGAAAAGAGTCCAAAATGGTGGTGGCTAAAAGACCTGGAAGGGAAAGCCCAGGAAAATAGAACAAAGGAAGGTCCGAGGGCAGGAGTGAGGACCTCAGGTAAAACAAACAATGCTCCTGCCTAAGCCCAGTTTACATAAGACAGGCCCAGGGACAGAGGAGCGCATAAACAGAGGAACCAAAGCCTCTTTTCCCCTTTTGCTCCCTCCCTCTCCTCCCGATCGATGGGGCGATCTTCTCTTTGCGTCTTTGGATCCACATGCCCTCACGCCTCAAAGATGGATTTTCCTGCTATTATCTAAATAATTAGAGCTGTAACACTGAGCTGTAACACTGATTTATTTAAGAGCTATAACACAGTCCATTCGAGACCTGAGAGTTATAACACGGCCTGTCCTCCAAGAGCTGTGACCCGCCAAGGGGCTTTAATGTCCGTCACCCCAAATTTTTGTTGTGACGAAACAAAGAACCGAGGAACATACACTCGTGTGACATTATTAAAATATATCAATATATTAAAACATTGATAAAATATTTAAACAAATCAAAACACACAGTATGGCAAAGTAAAGAAAGCAAACATGATAATAGTGCAGGACATATTGATTCCTTTATCCCTGTCCCAGGGTAGACATCAAGAATCACCCAGTGCATTCTGTCTCTCTGAGCCTAAACAAACCCCAGAATCACTTACAAAAAGAGCACTCAGATAACCACTGCCAATAGACCACAATGAGATCTTAACTTACACCTATTTTATACTCCTAATCTAAGATTTGAGTGACTTGAAACATTTAAACAAATTTTTAGGCAATTTAGGAAATCCTTTTTAAATCAGAAATGATTATATTTTCATTCTATTTAGAATTCACTAAATCAAGAAAAGGATTCCAATAATTTTTCCACTTCAAAAGAGTTTCCATTGCTAAAACCACCACCACAAAACGAAATGAACTCAACAGCAAACTTAAATCCATTAGTAAGAAATAATAGAACATGTTACTCTTTCCTGAGGAAAGAAAGCACACTCTTTTGAGGGTGTGCTTTCACAGCTAACAGTGAACATTCTTGGCTGTTAATAAGCATAGTGATAAAGCAGAAAAAGTAATACTCTTTTCATTACTAGCAATACATTCTCCCATTTTCTACTCATAAAGGCAGGGAAGTGATAAAGACATGAAGAGTCCTGGATTTTCATGGATCAACAACAAAATAAGGAGTAAAGGGTTGATTTATGGCATTAGCAAAGAAACCAAAGTTAACACTTACTTTTGCAAAGGCTTCAAAAATGTCAAAGGAAGGTGGCAGCTGAGAAGCATCCTGTATTTCTTCTCTCATGAAATGTTGAAATGTCAATGCAAGTTGCCTGAGGCCCTCTTTCTTATCTTCAGTCAGTTTGTTAATATCTTTTTTAAGCAGAAAATAAATAGCACTATCATACAGAGAACTTTCAGTGGATAATTTTCAGGTATTCAGCGGTAGCTATTAAGCCAGAAATTTCCTGCCCTAGATTTCATTCTAACAGAGATTAGATATTTGGCAGAAAACAACAAAATTCTGTAAAGCAATTATCCTTAAATAAAAAATAAATTTTAAAAAATGCCTATCTTTTCATTTTTTGACAGCTACAAATCATTATATACACGTTACCAGTTAAATTCTCAAAATAAGATCAAACACCTAGCAAAACAAAATCCACACACCCACATGAAAAAACAGTGAAACCAAAATCAGTAATGATGTCTGTTAGCAGATTGTCTACATTCTCCTGCACACATGCTCAAACCACCATAAATGCTTATTTAGTCAGTGAATTTAAGCAGACTTTTTCATGAAACAATTTACAATCAGGACATGACTGATTACCATTATCATTTTAAAGGCAAAAAAAAAAAAAACCAGAAAGCAAAAATTGACAAGTTTGGTTAAATTAAGCTCAAATTGATATGTATCAAGGAGAAAGTATATCAAGAAGAAAACATGGATCAACCAAAGAAATCACATCTTCAAGTTCTTTAAAGAATGAATAAACAAGATATATAAGGTTTCCATTCAAACAGAAGGAGAAAGTTCCAAAGCCAGTATCACTCCTTGAAAAACTCAGTTTCATTTATACCACAAAGGGTTGTGAAGGCTAAGAGTGCACAATTCAATTAATAACATTTGGAGCACTTCACTTAAGGCAGCATGAATGATACTGCTACTGAGCAGGGCTACTGTTCATAGTAAAACTCACTTTAAGAGATGTTAATTATCTTGCAGTAATATAACAAGAAAAAAATGACTAATTAGTTCTCTATTAAAACTTGAAAACATACATCAAGATGAACTACACCATTACTCTGTTGCTCATGTCAGGTCTACATATTTTCTTTAAATTACTTGTGCAACAGAACAATTAAGCCAATGATTTCTTAAATAATAATTTATTTTCATTGGCCCTTAGGATTCCATAACCATAAATCTGTACTAGATCATCTTATTTGTCTCCATCCAGAAATGTTAAACTGTATAGCACATTTACTCCACAAGCTCTTGCTATTTTTGAGCTGAAGTCATTTGCAACTTCACTGAAGAGGATCTGTGCCAATATGAAAGAAAAATAAACCTTACATTCACTAAACACTCAGATGCAAAGCCTCTCAGTGTTCTCAGGGATGTTGGCCACTGCCACGGTAGTTTAGGAGCTGAACAAGACTCAGTGCTGTCAGAGGGCCGAAGTCATCGGTACCTTCTATTTTCCATATTATCTAAAGGACCAGTGAACCTAAATGTTCCTTGGAGCCCCCCTATTCATATTACTGTTCCCTGACATCAAAAAGAAGCCAAAAGTGGAAGAAGAGAACAATGGAGGGGAAAACAGAAGTGAAATTATTTTGTCAACTTGACTAAGGGTTATACTCCCCTCACTGCCTAACTTAAGACCCCTCTGTGGCCAAAGCTATCCTGGAATAAACTAAATAAGCTAATGTGTCAGTCTACATAAAAACTTGAACAGGTTTGTTGCCTCACAGAGACAGAAAAACAAAGGCAAAAATAAAGCAGCTCATCAGCTCAGCAAATAAATTATAGAACTTTTAAAATGCTGATAGGCAATCACTTACTTGACTCCAGATCATAAAATGAGTAAAGTTTTTCCGATTCAGAGGGTGTTTCTTGCATCTATGAAGAAAGAAGGAAAACACCAAAAACAATTTAAAGTGTTCCAATATATACATGAATATGTTTATGTATCTTTAGATATTTAAATGCAAGTCTGTTAAAAAGACAATTTTCTATATATTCCTTCTCTTCATCATGTTAAAATGTGTTGCAACTTGACCCACCAGTTTAATTTCTAAACACAAAATTCTTTTACAAAACATTTCCATACTTTTATTTTTTCCCCAGTTCTACCACTGACTTGGGTCATTGCAAGGATTTTATTATTAATTATTACAGAAAAGCAAAGACAGATGAATAAAAAAATAAGAGTTTATTACAAAATGTGCAACCTTGGGCATGTTACTTAACCTTGAGGCAAGAGGAGTCAATTTCCCTATGTGAAACACACATAAGAAGTAATGCAACACTGAGCTGTTGTGGGATAAAGTACGTTTAAGAAGTAATGCAACACTGAGCTGTTGTGGGATAAAGTACGTTTAACATAAAGCAATTAGCACATGGCCTGGAAACAGTAAGTACTCAATAGAAGGGAGTAATCATTATAACTGCTTTCTATTAGATTCTGACTCAGGAGGTTGGGGGTGGAGATTGAGAACTAGTACCTTGGGTGATTCTGAAGCAACCTATTTCTGCTCTAATGGTGGTTCTCTATCTTTTCAATATTAATAAAGTTGACAAAGTTCAGACTCAAATATCATATTATTATACTTTTAATATAAAGTAATTAAAGGAATGCATAATAACAAAGTTGATATCAATTTACTAAAGCATTGAAATAAATTTGTGTATTATTGAGTTTAGTTCAATACAATATATACATTTGAAAACAGCAGTAAGTATATGTGATAGATGTTGTATAATCAGTCCAAAGACAATACCCATTTGGTATTCTAAATTCATTTTTTAGTACTGATGTAGCTGATATAAAACACTGCACTGGTTTTAGGTATATACTTATACATTCCTAAAAACCCCTATAAAATTTTATTGCCAAAAAAGTTAATAAACAACAGGACAGAATAGAGCTGAAGCTTGCAATAAAGAGATACATGCTAAAGCCTGGGAAAGGTATTACCACAGAGTGATTTCATAGAATCCACTAGCCACTTTGGCAAAGTAGGAAAAGGGATGGGAGAAACAATTTCAATGGATGTTAGCTTTAAAAAACAAAACAAAACAAAACACTCTTCCTTCAATCATCTAATTAAAATCTTACTTAAAGAAGCAACCCAAAAAATTATATACTTGCCCTGTGCATTAGTTCTCAGTAGAACAGCAATAAAGGCAATGTAATAGGAATCACTAACATCTCATGCCCCAAACATAGGACCTTATGTCTCCATTCCCAGGAGAATACACACAGGGCCTTCAAAAGGGGGGCCATGTACTTCATCACTGCCACCAATGCTGGGATTAATAGAAAATAGCAAGTTTTGTCTTAAGATACTCCCTGGAATAATCCACCTTCTACTTTAACACAGATTTAAATGTAGCCTTAAATATGAATACTACATGCAATTGCAAGTGCTTATGTTAAAACCCAAGCATATTTCGCAAGTTTTATACTCACAAGTTTGAAAACAACTCTGCCAAGTAGTCGGACAGAGTCAGGAGGGTATCTGGGTTTGCAGCTTTTAAGGCATTTGCATTCTCGCTTGTGGTCCTGCCAAGCTTTTTTCTGTTAAGACAAGAGTGAGGAGGACATATAAGACATAAAAATTTAACTTTTGTTTATATGGGTTTTGAATGTTGAGAGTCATCAACATTAACTTAATTTTAATAGCCTAAATATAACTGCAAATAGAAAAGGAAAGCAATATTCTAATACTATTACTGATCCAGGATTTAGTATGCAATTATCAAGCATGGACATCAAAAGCTTCCATTTCACCTCTATCCTTTATTTGCCCCGTGGTTATTACCTGGCTGGTAGCATCCAAAGAAAGAATGATTATGTCTTTCTTAATAATTCATAAGATAGTCTCTTAGGTGATTAAATAGGATTCCTTAATAGACAGTGATTTTGAATACAAAAAGAAAACATCACTCCAAATTAGAAAATAAAACACATGGTTCAGAAAAATCAAAAGAGAACAGATAGCTATCTGAATTTCTGTGCTGCTATAGTAAGTAGAGAAATATCAGGAGGGCTAACAAAAATTTTAAAAAATAGAAAATCCTTTCATTTTTTAAGATAACATAGAAAGGAGTTATTAGCTAAAATGACCAAAGGCCATTCTTACTCAGAACTGTCTTGGTTTATTTATGTTGTCCTGGCCTAATTATTAACATTCTGAAAAGTGTGGTTGGGAGGATAAATTACACAGTCACTTAGCCCAGAGTCCTAGCCATGTGCTGGTGGGGCTGAAGAGACCACAGAGCCAGTCACCAATATCGAAACACTAGGAGGAGAGGACTAAATGGACTGACATTCTCCTTGAGTCTGAAACGCCATGACTCCCTTCATATGGGATTGCTTCTATATGGAAATACAATCCAGAGTGTCTAATATTTAACCCTGGTGAGAGGGAGACCAGTAGACCAAATATCTAATATTTCTTTTCCAAATGAGAGCTGTAAATTCTATCTCTGAAATGCCTGATGCTCACATTGTCTTCTTTCAGAGATTATAAATCTGCTTCCCAGATGCTGGGCCTATGAAATCCCCCTACAGGAGGTCTCTTTTTTCCACTTAGTAGCACAACATGCAGCATAACCAAAACAGGAGATGCAGCTACTCTGAAGCTGTGACCGAGATTCAAGTTCAAGCCAGCATTTTGCTCAGAAAGACTGCCTGTGCCAGGATGCTGCGTGAAGGTACGGTTTGTCTACCACTATCTCCCAGTAAACCAAACCTTGGAGAAATTGTTTATAAGGGGTACATCATTTCTTTTAGCAACTCTACACACAATTGCCTCATTTCATTCCTTCTTATTCACTATGGCAATGCTCTTAATGTGATTTTTTTTTTAAGTATTTATACTTTGTGTGTGTATGCTCAGTCGCTCATCCATGTTCAACCTTTTGCGACCCTGTGAACTACAGCCCGCCAGGCTCCTCGGTCCATGGGATTCTCGAGGCAAGAAAATGAGTGGGTTGCCATTTCCTACTCCAGGGGATCTTCCCAGGGATGAGACCTGCATCTCTTGCATCTCCTCCATTGGCTGGTAAATTCTTTACCACTGTGCAACCTAGGAAGCCCCATTTATACTTGACTCATTTCCAAATAAAAGTGTTTCAAAGAGAGGTGAGTAAGAGATAAGACTGTAAAATTAGAAACAAAATGTAATGTTAAAATTATGGGGAAAAAAGTATTCTAGTATTACTTAGCATTCTACAGTGTGTTAGACACATGGCTAAGCAATTAAAAAATGTTTCACGTGATTTTCACAATAATCCAAATGGTAGATATTATCCTTATATTAAAGATGATGAAAGTAAGGCTCAAGAGCTGGAATCTAACTACCAAGCTACATAAATATACAAAGAGAGAGTATAAATTCTTAGTAAACTAAACAGGAGCGAGAAGTAATGATCGCTCTGTGCACTACATTTATATGAGTTGCCTTACAGGCAAGGCAAAAAGAAATCATAATTCTCTTCTGACAGAAGAGAAAAACACATAGATTTACCAAGCATTAAATCACAGGAGGGATTTCTTCCAAGAATGCTAATAAGTATACTGGACAATGTCTTCGACAATAGCTCACAACACAATGGCCTTTCATAGAACTGCTTCTAATGTCAATAGAATATAACTCAGTGAAAGAAAAGATTTCTGTTGCTCAGGGGGCTAATCCTGGACTAACAATTAGTAAGTACCAATGTGCTGTAAGATCCCTAAAATTAATATGGTTACACTGTCAAATAAGTTCAAAAAACATTTCATATTATAGAATCTGCTTAGAGATTCAAAATATTTTTAGCCTACTAAAAGTTCTAAAATGCTCTGTATTTAAGAAACTTATATAAATAAGTTAATACAGAGTTTCCTGTTACTGTTATTGCCATCCTTTGGGAAGTCAGGTTGGAGTGTACTGACTGAGATACCTATACACTTTCTTTCCTTCAGCTGGTCTTTGAATGAGGATGGGTAAGCAGACAAATTCACAGTCATTCTCACTAACAGGAAACTAGAGCATGGATATTTTTTATTATTGATTGAGGAGAAAACCATAGCTTTGGTGCAAGAGTTTTCATTTGGTATTGAAAGAGTCTGGCTGGAAAAGAACTGCAACTAGTGAAATAAGACTGAGATAATGGATTAAATGATCTTAAGAGCAGATTTTAATTGACACTTAAATATTAGAGATCACCCATAACTTTCATGTTAAAACCTCCAGTTTTGAGCATCTCAGCCTTTTGGAAGCTTACCAGGGAAAAGTAACTATAAACATGTACCTCAGGTAATAAACCTACAGATCTGTTAGATGACATTATTTAGAATGAAGCTTCTAAATTTTAGAAAGCTCTTGTCAAAAATGACTTATTTCTTTAACATAATTAAAATGAGTTTTTATTCCCAGTGATAATTAGAAAGTAGACAATATATCTCTTAAGACTATTCCTAGATCACTGCTCAGAAACATTGGACAATGTACTTATCTTCCCACTTGCTTCAGCAAAAAAGAAGTTCATTATTTTTATCTTAAACCAGATCTATATAAATATGGAAGGTAGTCATACCACTAGAAACCATGATACTAAAAACCATGTCTTTAAAACATTAATTGTAGGCTTACCATAGGCTTACTAATAGAAGCAAACCACCAGAAAAGGTTTAAAAAGAAATCTTTTAAGCAACTGCATTTGACTTCTAAGAAAAACTCACAATCATACAAAACCATTAGGCATTATCTTCACTCTACAAACTTTAACCATGGAGTGCAGCTCGCCAGGCTGCACTGTCCATGGGATTCTCCAGCCAGGAATACTAGAGTGGGTAGCCATTCCCTTTGCCAGGAGATCATCCCAACCCAGGGACTGAACCCGGGTCTCCCATATTGCAGGCAGATTTTTTATCATCTGAGTCATCAGATGGAGATCTCAAGGACACATTACTAAGGACACAAACACATTACATATCTACCCCTTTCTCATAGATAAGCCCTTGAATTACTTTTTCCTATTTTCTTCTATTACTACAAATACAGGGTACAATTAAGATTTTATTCACAACACTAACTGTAATGTTTTCTGTTCTCATGGTTGAAAATTAACAATAAAGTATAATAAGCACAAATTAGCATGAAAGACAAAGGAAATTAAAATACTGAATTAAGAAACAAAGGCAAGGAGAGAAGAATTTTAGATAGGGCAAAAAAGAAATTAAGATGTCTTTGACTCAATTCCATGTATAAGTACGTGTATGACTCAAAAACAACTTCAGAGTATATACATTTTCATATGTTTTATAGTATTTATATTGACTCAGCACACAAACTGATGAACTAAACCCAGTGGTTTTCAGCGGGAGTAATCCTAATCTTGGGAGTTGTATGGGCATTTTATTGAGGGTATTTTTGTTTCACACAATGCTTGGGGAGCACCATGGGTACTTACTGGTCAGGAGCCAGAAATGCTAGACATCCTGCATGCTTAAGAGAGTTCCATACAGTGAAGAATTGTTCCAAATCCAACAGGACTTGTAAGTGTCTGATCAGACATTCTAGAAAGGTGACAAACTTGTTTATAATTATCTGAGCCTAGAAGTAAACCTCCTTTGTTTATACAACGACATTTTTACGTAGCTTTAGTAGCACTGAATTCTCTAGGGAAATTAAGGTAAGATTGCATTTAAGAATTAAATGCTACAATTATTCAATATTTCACAAAAGCATATCACTGAAGCCAAAAACAGTTTTGGTATGTGTATTAACCAATAAAACACATTTTCTGATCTGCATCTTGCAACTTCCCTTTTCACAGTGACTCTGTACAGGTACAAGTATATGACTTCTTAATTATGTCTTCTAGTCTAGTCACGCCTGAGCACTTACACACAAAAGTATATATTATTTTAAGTTATTTTAATATTCATTCTCCTTTATGTTCTAGTTACGGCATTTATATTGATACTGAATTTTGAAATATGTAACTAGGTAAACTGCATTACCTAAGAAATTTCATTTCAAGATAGTAGAGAGGACAATAAAATAACTGTCTTAGAAAGATGGAGTTAGGCCTGAAAGAGCTGAAAACCCCAGATCTAGAACAATGCTACAGTTACACATTCAACACACACATAAGAAAATATTTTAATACACAGCCTGGGACACATCCCACAGAGTCTCACAACACTGCTGAGATAGAATTGGATGTCTAAATTGTTTTTAATCACTGCGGCAGATTTCATGTGCAGCCAACGTTGAAAAACCACTGAGCTAGGCTAAATTAAAAAGGAGGTCACTATATACACAAGATAGATTAAAACTATAAAATACTATTCTATACTTATAATTAAACTATTGCCTTACAGGAATTAACATTTTTATAATAATGAGGTGGGAAAAGGGTTTCTAAAGCTGGACATAAAACCTAGAAATGATAAATGAAAAGATGTATATGCTAACCAACATAAAAATAAATAACTTGTATATCAGAAACAAGAAAACCTAATACCTCAAATATGGTTGAAAAATAAAGAACAAACTAGGAAGACAAAATCTAAACTGTGTA